CCTGTGTACAGGTCCTGATGCAGTCTACAGCCTGCATGTGACACGCCCCCCGCCCCCCCCCCCGCCCCTGGCCAATGCTACGCACGAGGCCCTGCACACACACAGGGTGAGAGGGAGTGACAGGACCCAGTGTGCTGGAGAATGGTCAGTGAGCGCCCATTTAGCCCCCCTCCCCCTCCTTTATAGACAGGGAGACTGAGGCCCTGATCCTCTACGGTAGCAGCCCTCTGGTTTCAGGGTCCATCGTGGAGCGCCGCACTGCGCTGTCTTCTCAGGGCTTAGCCCCTGACTGCGGTGGGGTGGATGTTGACAGCTCTGGCCAGTCTCAAGGAGCTTCCCAGGGTGGGGTAGTTGGAGGACAACAGGCAGTAGGCTCAGGAGGACGCAGGGACTCTGACATTATGGATGCATGGCCTAGCCTCCTACTGAGTTCAGGGAGGGAATGACACATTTCAACATTTATTGTCATAACACTCCCTCTCTCCTACCCTGTCTCTTGCCTCTAACAATCTGGCCAAAAAGGCATGAATGAATTCCGGGCTCCAGGCAGCCACAATGGGCCTCGCAGCCTTAGGATGTGCTTTGTTTAATGGTTTTCTCAAAGGATATTATTTGCTTTTCTTTAATACAAAACACAAACAAGGAAAAACACCACGTCTTCCCCTCTCATTTCCCCTCTCCCAACCTGACCCAGCTCCAGGCTGGCCCCTTCCCTCCCTCCTGGCCTCGGGTCACCGCAGGAACACACTGGGTGTGCCCCACGCAGACAATGGAAGGAAGCTGAGGCTCCCTCTCAAGCTGGCGGCCTGGATCAGGATCTCACCGCGAGGCCGGGCAGATGGAGCTCTCCGCGACACCGGGCCTTCCATGAGCCCGGGACTGGCGGCCGCCCTTGTCTGGGCTTGAGTCCGGGGCTCTGCCCTGCATCCTGCCCTCCTCCTCCACGACCCATAGCAGGAGGAGCTGCCCTCGGGGGACTCAACCTCAGCCGGAGTCCTAGCTCTCCACCAAACTCACTGTGGCCCGGAGGGCCTGCCAGGCCGCTTGGGGCTTCTAATGAAGCCATTGCTATGGCCTCTGTGTCCATCCATCTATCTCCCCCCAAAGTAACATATATGTGTGCCCGCAGAGAAGATGTCATAGTAATCAAAGCATGGGCTCTGCAGCTGTATTGTGAGCAGTCGGCTCCCGGCTCTTCCTTTTGATGATCGTGGGACTTTGATAGCTAACCTCACCTTGACAGCACTCGGTTTCCACATCTGTCATAACAGCATCAGCCTCCTCGGGTCCTGGTGAGGCTTAGCTGAGTTGATAAGCATGTAAAGAATGTAGCCTAGTGCCTGGTATGTAGGAAATCTCTGTAAGTCTCTCCAGCGGTACTTCCATCACCCTCACCTTCATCATCTTCCCCATGGTCCTGACACTCTGCTCAGGGCCAGGTGGGCCCAAACCAGCAAGGCTGTGCTGGTCCCTCTCCTCGTGGAGTCCCCGGGCCTGGTACAGAGACTGGCTGAGGTGGTTTGCAGGGGGTTGCGGGGAGAAAGCTCAGGTTAGGGATGGCAGAGGGATTAGCAGAGGGCTTGGTGACCCACGTACGGAGCTGGAGAAGGAGGGAGAAATTCTGCCTGTGCCTTCTTCGGTGTGAGGCTGACGGACCTCAGCGGGAGGCCAGAAATCAGCTACAAAAGTGTCAAAGGACAAAGTCTTGCACTTCTGAGGGCCTCCCTCCCCAGGAGCAATCCAGGCCAGGGTGATGGAGGACAGGTCCCACCCCCAAGACCACCTGGAGCCCCAGCCTATAGGCATCTGGGTGAATAAATGAATGAGTGAATTACACAGGACTTTCAGGTGCTCCTGCTTGAGACAGGGCACACTATTTACGCAAGCTTCGCTGGAGGGCCCTCTGTAATCAGTCACTTTGTTTCTCAAGTGGGTGGTCGCCACCAAGTGACACATATAACTCAAGATGCTCCCCACAGTCCTTCTAAGACAAGGGTAACTGGGTGTCAACAGGGGCAAAGATGAGGCCAACAGATGAAGAAAGAAAAAATCTGTGCTTAGTCACACATCTGCCATCAGGCTAGCTGCTGACCTGGGTTGGCAGAAGTTCTTTACTCACAGGCCAGAGGTAAGACATGAATGGCATGGCAGCATTATCCATAATAGCTACAACTGGAAACACCCCGAATGTCTACCAACTGATGATTGGATAAGCAAAATGTGGTATGTCCATACAATGGGATATTATATGGCCATTGAAGGAAGTTCTTTTTTTTTTTTTTAAGATTTATTTATTTGAGAGAGAGAGAATGAGAGAGAGTGGTGGGGAGGGGCAGAGAGAGAATCTTCAGGCAGACTCCCTGCTGAGCACGGAGCCCGATGTGGGGCTCAATCTCACGACCCTGAGATCACAACCTGAGCTGAAACCAAGAGTTGGCCGCTTAACCAACTGAGCCACCCAGGCATCCCTAAAGGGAAGGAAGTTCTGATACATGTGACAACGTGGATGAACCTTAAAAACATCATGCTCAGGGAAAGAAGCTAGTCACTGGAGACCACATATTGTACAATTTCATCTTTACGAAATATCCAGAATAGGCAAATCTGCAGACAGAAAGTAGATGAGTGGCGGCCAGGGGCTGCGGAGAAAGAAGGGGAGTGACTGCTAATGAGTACTGTGTTTCTTTTTGGGTGATAGAAATATTCTGGAATTAGACAGTGGTGATGGTTGCTTGACCTTGTGAATATACTAAAAAAATAACTAACCGTATGCTTTAAAAGGGTGAGTTTCATGGTATGTAAATCATGTCTCCATTTAAAAAGGTGGGAAGAAAATCTGGGGGCAGTATATTCCGGGTAGAGGGGACAGGAAGTGTTAAAAGAAAGAAAAAAGAAGATCCAGCCACAATAGAAAGTGTTCCTCTCTCACTCAATTACTCTCCAGAAAGCAGCTGCCCTAAAACATTTTACATAAGATAGGGCTGCAAAGGGCAGCCTGTCCTAGGTAAGAGGCACCCACTGACAAGTGTGACTAATGAGGAATCTGGAAAGAGCATGAATTGGTATCTCTAGGCCTGGCCAGGGGAGATGGTACTTTGGCTTTAGACCAGAGATCCCTCCCTGCTTTTTAGAATCTATCCCTCAAGTGGAGAATGGGAAATTTATCAGGCTTGTCAGAATTATCCTGCAAGAGTGGCCTTTGCTATAATTCTTTACTCAACAGATTCTTCCACTCCATGCTTTGCAAGAGGCCCATATGGATGTCAGTCCAGGTAATGTTAGTCCAGGTATGAGAGCGCCCCCACCTCCATAAGTGAGAGTACCGGCCTTCTGGTTTACCAGCTGCTTGGTGGGTCTTAGCAGTCTTGTGTCGTGTGAGCCTCTGCAGCAGTACGCTGGACCACCCCAGGCCCTGTCTGCTCTTCTTCCACTTCTCTGCCTGAGAACCCTTCTTCCCGTCACTCTGAGACCTGGCTGCAGTCCCCCTGCCCCCGTCTAACCTCTGACCACTTTTGTTCACTAAATGGGCCTGGGAGACAAGCAGATTATATAAACCAAGCCTCTCCAGGGACAGAGGGAAGATAATACTCCTTCCACATGCCGCACTGGCAGAATACATGTGCAAAACACACACACACACACACACACACACACACACACACACACACACCCTGACTTGGAGGTCAGCAATGGTGTAAGACGCGGCTCTGCAGGGCAGTGCCTGATTGCTCCGGTTGCACAAACACGTTATGTAAAGTCCGCCCATTCCAGGGCAGGCTGAGGCTGATACTCACAACCCAGGGCAGTATTTCTGAGGGATTAAAGGCAAGCCCAGCAGAGCTGTGGGCCCCAGGCTGGGAGTGTAAGGGCCTTGTCCTGAGATGCCAGTATTAAACAGACAAATCTTGCATCTGGGGTGA